AAAGAACCAACAAAATTCTACAGAAATACAGTTATGTATTGTCCTACAAATACAAACTAATTTATTTTGGTTCCAGCTATTCTTTTGATAAAACCATGGACACATTTTAGGCCGCACATTTTAACCTAACTTTTAATGAAAGGAGTATGTGTTTGATTCAAATATCCTGTCGAATTCATGGTATTTTATATATTGAATGCAATGTCCTTTAATTCATTTTCTAACATTGAAAACGTTCATGGTCAAGATCATATATCCAGGTAAGGAAATCGAACAGATGCTTCCATTCTTTCATCCAATAGTTCTTTTATACATCACATGTCGGAGCTGTATATATTCAGAAATCTCTATAAATCAGGTGACATGTCAACAAAGCTGTCTTTAGACAATAACATGTCTTAGGATGCCATTGGTGTTAGGATATTGTCTTAGTCCTAAATCAGGTTAACGAAAGCCTCCTAAGATAAGATATGTCATGATTTTTTGTTTATTTTGTCCTTAAATATGAAAGCTACATAGGTGTCTTTATGCGGTCTAAGGAAAAACTAAAATTTGAAATACAAACTGCAAAACGAAACAGAATTTCTTTATGTTTGTTGATTTCAGCCAACAGAGATTGATTTTTTTCCGGCCAAAATTTGAACTAAACTCCTTTCCTTTCTCATGCTGATTCAATTAATATACACCACATGACATGCAGATTCAATGAATATACATCACATGACATGCAGGTTCAATGAATATGCATCACATGACATGCAGATTCAATGAATATACATGACATGACATGCAGATTCAATGAATATACATCACATGACATGCATATACTGTATACAGGTAATGAAAGCGATTGGACCAAAGGGAGAATCTTTTAAATACATTATTACAGCACAATTAAAAATTCTAAGGCACTGAACATTTTGTGGGAGGATTGGGTTTTTATTCACGGAACATATTTTTCAAAATTATAAAAAAAAAATCTTCAAGAACAGTAAGAAGACTTTTTAGAACCTACTGTTGAATTTTGTTCGGTTAATTTTCGATGGAAACAAAATGTTTTCCCTTTCATTTGAAGCAAATTTTTTATTATTTTTCCTTCTGAAACAATATATTACACTTCCTTTCTGAAGCAATTTTTATAACAGTTTATTTTGTGGTAGAAATTGAAATAATATTATACTCCCCCTTTTACACTTGTATACTATAAAAATTTCATAAGATTATTTGATATATATATATTCGTTTTATATTAGCAGTACATGGTCTTAGGATATTCTTAGAAAAATCATAGGTAAGACCATCCTAAGATAGCTTTGTTTAACATCCTAAGATAGTTCTCAGCAATGTCTTGAGACCATCCGAATTCAAGCACTAAGATATATCTTAGGACATAACTAAGTACTAGTATACTGTATTTACATGACACTAGTTTGATTTCCGTGACAGCTTTGTATTTTTGGAAGACAACAAAGATGGGATGGCAATAGACTTTTATTCATATTTTCATTGAAAGCAATTTTAAAAAGCTTTTGGTGAAAAAATACAATGGGGACTAGATGTTGAAAAAAAATGATATTTTCAAAATTGTAAATGGAACATCATTAATGAATTGTGGAGTAATTGCTTTTTTATTTAAATATTCAAAAGAAGAAGGAATTAATTATCATTCATTCGATGACATATATGTTATATGGATCAGTGAGAAAATAATGTCTACAAATTCAGTTGATTTTTTATTTTGAATTCTTCGATAAGAATAACGTTCTTAGGTTTGTCTATAAAGTTGATTGAATACATATGTCCCAGTCGTCCAAGATACTATATGTATCAAAGCGAATGTTTCTAATATTAACTCAATAGGTCACATGCATGTATGAGACTTACCATTTGTTGTTATTATTATTATTATTATTATTATTATTATTATTATTATTATTATTATTATTGTAGGACAAATATTTCAGTGATAAAAATGTCTAAATATAAACTTGAAACGCTACAGACAATTTTTTTTTTGCAAACTATGCTAAATTGTAACATTTCTTACTACTCTTAAACTCTTTTCATTTAAGATGGAAACTTCTAACGTTTAGGTATGCACAATGCATTTCTGAGTTGGGATCAAATGAAACTGTCATCGTTTTTGATATGTTTATTTATCGCTACAATAAGAACCAATTGGTTTTCAGTTGCTCTTATATGGCCAGTTATCTGTGAAATAGAAAGTATTAAGCGCAATATAATCTGATAGTTTTAATTCATTGAGATAATTGAACTTAAATCACACTTTAAATGGACCAGTTAACACAATTTCTTAACCGTTTGAGTCTTTCAACCAGTAAAATCGAATTTCACAAAAAGTGACAGATTTTCCTTTAATTTATTCCATCTTTATAAAAAATCATTTTCTGTAGAGAATTGTTTTATAAACTGAGTGTTGTCGTCTTATTCCAAAACTCATCGGTTCAAGTCATCAGAGATTTGAACAAAAAACATTGCGTCTGCCAACCCAATCTTTGCATACTTATCTCAACTTTTGAAAAATGTCACACTTATACTCATTTGAAAAATGTATGGTTAAGGAAAGGTTGTAACTTCAGTTTTTAGAAGCTACAATGTACAAGCATTTTTCAATTTTGTTTTCTTATAGTTTCCTCATAGTTTTGTCTCTTTTCTTAAATTTCCTGAGAAGTCCGACTGTTTTCACTTGAATGATAAGTCATACTGACTTGATTGATTGATGGTTGGTTAACGTGCAGTTGCAAATATTTCATGCATGTTCTGGAAGATTATACTGACTTGACATTTTATTCGACGAAAGATGATCCCATGTATAGATATAAGTTAAGCGGGGTGTAAATAAATGTTTCGAATTTTGTGTCCGTTCATTCTTCTGTCAGTCTGTATGTCAATTAAACTTTCAGAGAATCTAATGTACCTAAATAAATTGTACACATCGTATCTATTTTTCATCAAAACATTTTTTTGGGTTGCACACAGAAAATTACGCACAAAAAAGGTACGAATGATATTTTTAGAGTTCAACTATCAAAACGTGGACTTTGTCATATCTCCAAAAGCGTAGGCACTTGTTGTCGACACATTTCTAAAACAACTAAATTTCAATTAAAGTATCACAGACTCTACAGTACCTAAGGTGTACTACTGTGATAAGCGGGACTCTGGCATATACAAATAAGTGGGACTGGATGGTATTAATCTACGAACCTTTTTTTCTTTGGTTTGATTTCTTTAATGTTATTTCTGCATGCGTTGAAAAGAGAAATTTACTTCCAAAGCAGTTTTTTTAATTTCTTTTTTTTTGTCTTTCGTTTTTTTTCCAAAAGGATAAAGTGATATAGTATTGAGGATTTATACATCACAGAAAATCCCTACATACATTTTATTAAATAAAAACATAGAATTTACACTCATCTTTTCTTACTATAAGTTTTGACATATCCTGATGATTTTTTTCCCTGATTGGTAGACAACAGTATATCTCTATTTCTATGTTGTAATGGTTGATACTGTCATTGGTGCTTGTATTTACTTTTAGATTATATTTCAAAGAGCGGACAACATCCACTGAACAACACAGAAAGAGTTCAGGATCTATCATGTCGAAGAAATACCTTGTCACCACAAACATGCCACCAGAAAATAGATGCAACGGGCGTTTTTGATTTTAATGGTGAAAGTTATCAACCTAGGAGAAAAAAGAAAACAAGAACAGTATTTTCAAGAGGTCAAGTTTATCAACTAGAGAACACATTTGACATGAAACGATACTTATCCAGCTCGGATCGAGCAACTTTAGCAAGCTCTCTGAAGCTTACGGAAACACAAATCAAAATATGGTTCCAAAACAGACGAAACAAATGGAAGCGACAGCTATCCGCAGAAATCGACTCTACAGCATATGCACCAATCAACGCTTCTACGCAACTTCGAATCCCCATTTTTTGCAAGAGTCACCACTATATGCCGGTTGGATGTAAGTTAGGCTCAATGACTTCTACTTTCCAACCGACTCTGAAAGGAATGTCTTTAGCGTATGGGCAGCTGGCAATACCAGATCCAGAAACGATTCGAAATTCTATTTTGTAAAACTCTGTTGTTGTGGACTGCAGATAAATGTTTGTACAAAATATCGTGAAGTTTTATGTAACATGTTAAGTGTTAACAAATGCACTGTGACTGCACTAATGCGAAACATTAAAACATCAAAAGAGAGTCAGAGTAAAAGAGTCAGAGAAAGAGAGCGAGAGAAAAAAATATTAGAATAAATGTAGCTGTCTTCAATGAAGATGTTTTCCTTCATTAGAGAAATCAGAAAAAAAACATCGAAAGTTTTAAAATACGACAAAAAAATTGTAATGCAGTTAAGATACTTGTAAAATAAAACTCAGGTTTTAATAGTATTTACTAAGGAAAACACGATTTCTAAATGTTCAAATACAAAATATCAACATATTGATTTAGTTTTTCGAAAGTTTTAATACATAAGGTTCATTGAGAATTAATCATTAACAGAACATTATTTTAAGGTAGAAATGTTTATCTTTTAAGATGAGAATTTTCCTGGAAGAATTTGTCCTCTATCTCACCGTTTGTGTTTTTTTCTCTCGTTTGTACGCAGAATCGTTCAACGATAGTTTAAAAATGGGTCTGCATCAAGTTTTTTCGTTGAACAATTTGATATTTTTAGCTTTGTAAAGTTTTGTGAAATTTTAATCATTATGAATTTTAATTACAATGTAGAAGTTAAAAAAAAACTATTTTGAAATTTTGTTTGATCTTAAACGAACTCTTGCAAGGATGATACCATTTGTAAGAAGTAAAAAAAAACTATGAATAATTTACCTGTAATGCATTTAGAGAACTGTCTGCTAGATGCAAGACGATGTAATATTGTCAGCCCGGAAAGGTTGTCTGTAATCATTGTGCAATACGGAAGTTTATTTTTGTATAAAACTTGTCAAAAACTGTCCATGGTCACTTTCAGTTAAGTCACTAGTCAAGGTAAGTCCTGATAACGACAATATGAAGTGCAGGGAAATTCCATGAAGTTTTTTTTTTTAATCTTGATATTACAAATAAAAACTTTATTCAACCGATAATTAACTTACATTTTCACCTCATACAATTGTTAAACAAGTTACTTTTTAATATTGTGCCTTATTTTACGAAAACAAAAATACAATTTTTTATTTTTACATGTATACCAGTTATCGTTTTTATCTAATAACTTTTCATTGCCTTTGGAAAATAATAATGAAAGTATACGATTTAACATTCTGAAGAAACACGAGCCTTTCAATTGTGCGCTGATCAAAAACTTGTGAGCCTTAAAATGCGTTAACTAAAAAAATAAAAACACTTCAAATTGTATTTTTTTCATTGTTGATAGTTTTTGTGTTTTGTATTTGAAGTTTCACGTTGTAATTTTATATATCACTGTTAACAGCTTGCAATTAAGAGTTTATGTATTATAGAAGAAAGTACAGTAATAACTAAAAGGTCCTTGTAACGTTTCACAATTAAAAACTTCAAAATTGATGTTTGATTCTAAAATTTCGCTGTTTTTAGGTCAGATGTAAGCAATTAAAAATTTCGAAATGTTTTCCGGTTTTCAAAATGTTCATATTCAGGTAAAACTAAAAACTCCAAATATAAAAACACTTTCGGGTTGTTAGTATGTTTATGTTTTACCTATTAATTCAGAAAGGAAGAAAAAACGATTTTGGGTTTATGCCAGTTTGACATTTTAATTTAAAACCCACATTTCAAGAAGTGAAAGAATTTTTGATATATTATGCAGTCAGTTATCTAAAAATTCAAAATACTTTTCTGACCATTAAATTTCGATTTTCAGTTCAGAAAAATACAAACTTAAAAAACTTAAAATTTGATCCATCTCGAACACGAACACGAACTTTATTTCGATGTAAATGTAGTTTTTTTTATTGCAGTGATGAAGGTTGAAACATATCTTATACATTTTTGCTTTCCAATTTTGATATTTTATTTAGAATATCAATTTCAAAAATCACTTTTTTACTATACAACATCAAAATTTAAAAAAATATCATTTTCATTTTGAATTGTTAAACGCTACTCGGACCTTACTACTCAATACGATAGTTTTAGCAAATAGGAAGTGCATTCTTTTCTCCGTATCGTTTTTACAGAACACAAATGTAATTAATGTATTTGGTGAAACTAACATATTATGATCTTTGTATTAGAAAAAGCAATCAAAATGAACACAAAAGTCGCCATTTGTCTGATCCTTCCCTGTATCATCGCACTGGTTTCCTGTGCTTATTTACCTGGTAACTACGGATACCAACAACCAAGACAGGTTGCTCCTTATGCAAACTATGCTGCCAATAGTTACCAGGGTCTGAAACAGGCTAGACTTTTCAACTACCGTGAGTATTTTGAAGCAATATTTAGTCTTTTTATGTAAAAATGATATGACATTTAGATTATATTTGTTTATGAAAAAATGAAGTTTAGGGTATACGTCAAAGAGACGACAATCAAACGACACAAAAGAAGACATCTAAAGGTCAGCTGACAGTTTTTGTCAAACAATAATAAACATATGTCAAAATTTAATTAATTCGCCAGAAGTTTACAAAAAATCGTTAGTTTGCTTGCTTGATAGTTTTAAGGAATGACCGTAATATTTTTTTCTGTCTACGACGAAATAATATAAAAAATATGATGCACACTGAATAACCCGGATAGCGGGTTATTTAAAAGTGTGCAACACATTTTTTTTTAGGTTATTTCGAATAGACAGAAAAAAATATTACAGTCAGTCCTTATAATCTAATTCTAAATTCCATTTTTAAGAAGTAAATCATGAAAAAAACATTGATGACGTCACGGTCACATGAAAAAAATATGTAAATGAGCTGATAGACAAAAAACGTTCATCCAATCAGAAAACGTGTTACATCTAAAATTAAATTATTTGGATTTAATGTCACTTGTCACTCTAATTCCATAGTGGTCAACTAGATAGAGTTTATCTGCAAAACAAGAATGAAACAAAGAATTTTGTCTAGTTACTGACAAACCGTGTTGAAATATTCCACTATCATAATAGTGATTGGCCAAGTGTTCTGATTTTGCACTTTTATTTAAACTACAAACCACAGATTCTTCATAACCTATCTTTTATTGGCTAATTATGAGTGCATGCATAGAAATAAATATGACAGGTGGATGTGAAAATTTAGTCGGTAATGCTAAGATATATCTTATGAAGTCAATGAAATTAAAACAATCACATTATCTTTTAAAATAGTTAAATAAAATTTGAATATTATCAAATATAATCAAATTCGGAAAGTTTATTCTTATTTCTGGAGAAAAACAGTAAACTTTATAAATTCTTATTAATTTGAATAGTTTGAAATACTCATCTGTTATCGTTAACTTCTAAAATTATTTGTCATGTGGTTTTGTTTTAATAATTGATGAACTGTTGATTTGAAAGCATTTATTATTTTTATTCCAGTTCTAGGAGGACTATATTTCCTGAACCTGTTCAATTTCACTGGAAACCGAATTGCTGGTTAAAGCCTGTATACAGAGTTTGGTAAATTTCTTTAAATTATATATTCCATGCGACATAATTAAGACATGTTCCAAAACACAGTAAAACGTTACACTGTGACAACACATTTGTAATTATTTCCACCAATCAAAACGCCTCGTCAATTTATCTATTGTAAAAAAAATTCTCAATTCTTTATCCAAGACGAATGGCAGCATATGGATGAGAGGAACTGTTTAAACAACGTTTAAGCACTCTTTACTTCAAGCAGCTACTGAGAGTAAACTCAGAATCTTTTACAAATAAAAAATATAATGTATTATCAACATATGGAATTTCGCTCTTTCGAAAAAGCTTTAACCTTTAAACGCAGTATTAAAAAGGCATAAGTCAGGAATCTAATGTTCAGTAGTTGTCGTTTGTTGATGTGGTTCATAAGTGTTTCTCATTTCTCGTTTTTTATATAGATTAGACCGTTGGTTTTCCCGTTTGAATGGTTTTACACTAGTAATTTTTGGGGCCCTTTATAGCTTGCTGTTCAGTGTGAGCCAAGGCTCCGTGTTGAAGACCGTACTTTGACCTATAATGGTTTACTTTTATAAATTTTGACTTGGATGGAGAGTTGTCTCATTGGCACTCATACCACATCTTCTTATATCTATAGGTGAATTTGCAAAACAAAAAGTAATAATTCTAGTATGTGTCCATATCAAAAAGAATTATCTTTCTTTTATAAGATATTTATTCATTATCACTTTTTTTTTAGATGCAGACCAAACTCAGGTGGTACCGGGATAATTAGATGCAGACTAAACTCAGCTGTTACCCGGATAAATGCTTTAGTTTATTTATTGTGGATTATAAAAATAAAATTCAAAATTCAAAAAATTACGATATGTGTTGGTCTTGTCATATTGCATTATTCCTTAAACTATAAGGTACTTCTAAATATAATTTATTTATATAAATTTCCATGTATCACTCTTCTTATCAGCTGGCCCGATATTACAGTTCTCCATGAGGTGAATTTCTGTATAACAATAAATGCCTTTATAACAATAGATGCAATTAAATACATTCCACCTGAACTTTTTTAATAAACCTTTCTAGGAGTTTCTTATTTTTTAATGTATAACATAGAGGCGAAAGAAACTAGTATCAAAGGGATATTCAAACTCAATAGTCGAAAACAAACTGAAATGGCAAAAAAAAAAGAAAAAGACCAAGGGACAAACAACAGTACACAAAACACAACATAGAAAACTAAAGACTGAGCGACACGAACCCCACCACGGGGTGATCTCATGTGCTTAAGAAGGGTAAGCAGATCCTGCTTCACATGCGACATCCGTCGTGTTACTCCTCTACAATAACTTGAATTATAAGTTATATCAAGTGATTATGAATAACACAAGAGCGGATTGGTAATTTACTCTTATCTAACCATTAGACATCACCATATTAAACCATCACTCATGAAAGTTTTCTAACCATGAAACTTTACCGAATGTGAAAATTTGAAGAAAAAAAAGGTTTTTCTTGACAAAGGATAGACACAACTGTTACCGGTATAAAAAAAAACCCACTGACATTGAAAAATAATCTAATTCGGTAGGTTGTATTTGATGTTAAGAGGACGGGATTGTGGTTACGACAATAGGAACAGATCTGTCGTCATCTGTGAAACAAGTATTCTATAACGTCAATCATCACGGCGTCAGTAAAATTTTCAAAGGGATGATTTTAACTTCAACACTTGGAACTCTTGGTTTGATAGCTTCCTTGTAAGCAGCAATCCTCTATCAAGGAATATCATGATAGGAAATGCAAGCTCTGGAATAGTGTATCAACTGGGAGATATATACTCCATTTGCAGGCGTTGCTGGGATATTCTGCCAAAGAAAACGAAAATTCACAATCGGGCAGCTTAAATCATCTCTATTGTCGTAAAGTTTTGTTCTCAACAAGAAATACATTTGGAAGGTGTATGAAAATGATAGAACAGTACTATACACATAAGAACAATTAGTGGTAGACAACGAACCACCATCTGCTGCAGGCATGTTGACCTACAAATTATATATATTTGAAATATATATAGATGATAGAATGAAAGCAGTTTCCTATGGAGAGACTTATTATTCAATAATGCACAAAAAAACTTTTTTTCTCTGAACGCTAAAGTTATGTATGTAGGTTCTATAAATCTAGTTTTCACTTGAAGCATTTAGCTTATAGACTTACAATCTTATAGAATAATTTTCCGTTTCTTATCTGTACATTTGGCTTCCTATGTTGCACATCAATAATCAAAATATTTTACATTGCTATTGCTTCATGTGTTGATGTCTCCACTGGGATTTTCCGGTACTACAGATTTTTTTTAGTTCCATGTGTACCCTTTCGTATAGTTTTTAGTCTAGCTATCTAAAGCCTATGTAAAGTTCATTATGTATTCTGACCCTTTCGTATTGTCTTCCGGTCTGGTCTATGTAAATCACCTTGCAGTTTATACATGCACTAAGAATTAACAAATCTGATATCAAATCTGAGGATTTACATGTCTTGTTTGCATTAATTTGAACTTCTTTCCATTTGAAAAAAAAATACATCGTTGTTTAAAATCAAATATATTAAGCTAAGCGTACATCGCATTGTGTGTCACCACAAGTTTTTACTGAACATTCCTCTTAATTCGATTCCACTTCAGCTTCGATATTAGGTCAGAACTTCGAAGGAAGTGTCGAACATACTTCTTATTCATAGATGTGCATATATATGGCAAACCTCCATCGTCAAAACTATGCTTTTAGCCAAAAAATTAACACAGTGAGAATACTAAAAAAAAAACTTAAAAGCCCACACTAAGAATTAAAATTACACTGAGATTTCAAAAAGACACATCTGCTGAGATTAAATAAACTGAAATACACACACAATGATAATTGAAAATGACACACTGAGATTTCAAAAATATACACTGAGATCTAAATGCACATTACTATGAATATTCATGACATGTATAGTTCAATAGATTAATATCTTGGTCATCTGAACTTCTGTCACATAAAAATATCAATTGGAACACATCGCATGACTTTCGTACCTCACCTCGCTGTTCCGATAAATATGGTAGAACTCTCACGTTTTTTTTTATTATGTTGATCAACGATACAGAAGATTTAGGGAATTTCTTCACACCTTCATTCACTGTTTATAAAAATACTACTCGTGACTTAACCAGACCTTGGTCTGCTCATGACATACATTAATCGGAGACTAGAAAGTTCTTTAGATATATGAAATATTATTATTTCTGTGCTTAATCCCGGTACAGATTTAAAAGTAACTATTGAAACAGTTAACCCTTTACTCAACTGGTCTAGGACAAAGCAACACAAATGCTATATGCTTTAAATTTTGAAAAAGGGTGTAAATGACGAACGCGTAGAAACTTTGCAGTTTGAGATTATATCCTTAGGACGACCAAAGAACTATTTAAATCGATCGATTGTGAATTTACATGAAAGTGGGATGTCATGGAGCAGAATTGCAAGATTGCACAATAATTTAAAATCATTCTAAATTGTTAATACACTACTTCATTTTATCATTTTGAAAAAATATAACAGTGTAAAAACTGTATACACTGCTCCTTTGAGAATAGCAATAGTGGTGTGCACTTTTATAACTTGGGCAAACATGTGAAGAAACGGGTAAGCACTTTTTGCACAAGGTCGCAATCCCCAATCAAAAAAGATGCCAGCGGTATATTGTTAAAATATACTTTTTCACGTTTTTGGTCTTTTGGAAAATGTTGTTTGTGCTGTATTTAGACCCCTCTAACAAGAAATTTGTTTTGCATGCACACATATAAAAATTGTCTAAATTGAAAACAACGTTCAAACCTATGATTGCGTTGGATAAAAACCGCAATTTTTATACGTGTGCATGTAAAACAAATTTCTTGGTAGAGGGGTCTAAATACAGCACAAACAACAATTTCCAAAAGACCAAAAAAAGTGAAAAAGTCTATTTTAACAAAACGCATTTGACTAACAGGTCGAACAACTGATGTTCTTAAACCCTGCTGATTGCCATTGGCGATTGCCAAATAAATTGATCACCAGATCTAACAAAATGGATCTTAATATTAATTAAATACCAAACAGAAAACAATAAACTTGTGGAAAAGATGGTATACCACAAACATGAGGTGCAAAATTTTGTACACCATATCCGGATTTCGACAATAAATGTCTCTTCAGTGATGTTAGGGATCGAAACGGTATTTGGAAGGCCATATAATTTACCTCAATTTAGGATAGACTCTTGAATTTTAAAGAGTCGAAATAGGATGAACGGATCATATAAACCCGAAGGAAAATATAATACAAGCCCAAACGAAAAAATATAAAAAGTCTAAATTGAAAACAACGTTCAAACCTATGATTGCGTTGGATAAAAACCGCAATTTTTATACGTGTGCATGTAAAACAAATTTCTTGGTAGAGGGGTCTAAATACAGCACAAACAACAATTTCCAAAAGACCAAAAAAAGTGAAAAAGTCTATTTTAACAAAACGCATTTGACTAACAGGTCGAACAACTGATGTTCTTAAACCCTGCTGACTGCCATTGGCTATTGCCAAATAAATTGATCACCAGATCTAACAAAATGGATCTTAATATTAATTAAATACCAAACAGAAAACAATAAACTTGTGGAAAAGATGGTATACCACAAACATGAGGAGCAAAATATATATATACAAGTCTAAATTGAAAACAACGTTCAAACCTATGTTAGACTTGTATATATATATATGTATATATTTATTTATATACAAGTCTAAATTGAAAACAACGTTCAAACCTATGATTGCGTTGGATAAAAACCGCAATTTTTATACGTGTGCATGCAAAACAAATTTCTTGGTAGATGGGTCTAAATACAGCACAAACAACATTTTCCAAAAGACCAAAAAGTGAAAAAGTATATTTTAACAAAACGCATTTGACTAGCAGGTCGAACAACGGATGTTCTTAAACCCTGCTGACTGCCATGGCGATTGCCAAATAAACGGATCACAGATGTAACAAAATGGATCTTAATTTTAATCTAATACCAAATAGAAAACAAAAAACTTGCGGAAAAGATGGTATACCGCAAACATGAGGTGCAAAAATTTGTACACCATATCCGGATTTCGACAATTAATGTCTCTTCAGTGATGTTAGGAATCGAAACGGTATTTGGAAGGCCATATAATTTACCTCAATTTGGGATTGACTCTTGAATTTTGAAGAGTCGAAATAGGATGAACGGATCATATAAACCCGAAGGCAAATATAATACAAGCCCAATCGAAAAAATATAAACAAGTCTAAATTGAAAACAACGTTCAAACCTATGATTGCGTTGGATAAAAACCGCAATTTTTATACGTGTGCATGCAAAACAAATTTCTTGGTAGATGGGTCTAAATACAGCACAAACAACATTTTCCAAAAGACCAAAAAGTGAAAAAGTATATTTTAACAAAACGCATTTGACTAGCAGGTCGAACAACGGATGTTCTTAAACCCTGCTGACTGCCATGGTAATTGCCAAATAAACGGATCACAGATGTAACAAAATGGATCTTAATTTTAATCTAATACCAAAAAGAAAACAAAAAACTTTCGGAAAAGATGGTATACCGCAAATATGAGGTGCAAAAATTTGTACACCATATCCGGATTTCGACAATTAATGTCTCTTCAGTGATGTTAGGAATCGAAACGGTATTTGGAAGGCCATATAATTTACCTCAATTTGGGATTGACTCTTGAATTTTGAAGAGTCGAAATAGGATGAACGGATCATATAAACCCGAAGGCATATATAA